TGCTCAGTATTTTTTTAGTTCGATCTCAAGAGAAATGGAATTATGTGTCTGCATAAGAGACTTACCACAATATTTGATCACCATGCAGATGCTCAGCGTTGGCCTACATGCAGGGTATATTATCTCTTGAACTGACCTCAGTTCAATATCACCTCTGGGAGAATCAAGCTTCCATCTCTTCTTATCTTTCAGGACCTTATTCTAATCACCAAACTGTGGACTCTTTGCAAGCGTGAAGATCACATGTTCATGCCTCACCATATAGAAAATAAAAGCAGAGGACCAGCAAATGAGAGCGCAATATAGTAGGCTACTGGTTGAGATTTTAAGAAGAAATGTCCAGTTTTCCCCACAGACTATTTAGTATAATGGCACTCTAGAGGTGAAACATGTGGACTGACACCTCACAAGAAGAAAGAGGAAACTGAGCAGGAAGTATAGTTGAGTGGCAGTCTCAAGTTAGTGCCCCTGCTAGATGTGCTTTGAATGAAAAAAAAAAAAAAAAAAAAAAAATTCTGACAGCAGGAACTTGAAAGGACATACTTTTCCAGGGAAAGTCTGAGCTGTGATTCCAGAGTGGCAAGATGCCCTTGAGCACCAAATGAGGTGCCTCAGAAAGGCTCAAGGCTTCTGTTCTATCTGCCTTCACGGTGTTTCTTACTGACTCGTCCACAGGGCTCCCGGCTGAGAGTGAGAGTTGCTTTGGAAACTGCTTTGAGGTGTCTTGCTTGGACATTCACCATTGGGTCTGATTTCCATTTCAGGTCCAAGTGCCTGAGCGTAGGTGTTCTGATTTTTGGTACTAAGTCCCTCTCTGGACTGAATCCTTGGTGCACTGCCCAGTAAAACAAAAAGTTGTTTAAAAATCACAGTTCTTTGTGCCAGCTGAGATCAAAAAAAGTAAATGTCAGGCCAAAGAGTTATTGCAGCATGTTTGTGAGAAAATTACTTCTCTGTCCTTTAAAAGGTACAGTTAAGTAAGAGGAATTCCCATTATCCATATTTAATGCTAGAAAAAATAACTGTATAAATAACCTTCACTCTGAAATGAAAGCACTAGGAAAGCTGAGAATTTCAAACTGTATCGTTGAGTCATGTTGTTTTGCCTGCTGTGGGCAATGCATTTTCCACTGAGTGTGGGATTACCCTTTCTTATTTGGCTGCCGGATGGGCAGCTATACTTTCCAGTATCTACATAACAGCAGAGATGTTGGAACTGGTGGCTCCATGTTTTTGCTTCATCTTTACAGTCACTTTTATTATGTTGTTCTTTGAAAATTAACAGTTCTCATATAATTTTTTTTTTTTAAAAGAACATTTATTGGCACAGTCTGAACAGCTAAGGCAATCCAGAGGGTTTGTAGAGCTGAGCTGTATTAATCTTCCTCATTTGAGTGACCCTGTTAATCTTTGTGCAGATAGTGTTCATTTAAATTATTTTTACATAAGTCAGGGAATAAAATTTGTCTGATCTTCTGATTCCACTAGGTATATGTCCCACCTTTTACAACTAAAGTCTATGACTTGAGTCAGATATGTTTACCTGTACTGGAATTTGACTCTATCAACAAATAAATTAAGAATGACAAAAAGGAATTGGAAGATTTCTCCTGAAATATGATTGCTCCTGGATTTGCTCTTCAAATCCCCTTCTCTTCTCTTTTTATTTATTTATTTGTTTTTAAGTAGTCTGGAATTTTTAACCAAATACATTTTAGTCTAAAGCAATATTTTTTTTCCAAAACTGAAACTATGTACAAGGAATTTTCTTTTCTTTTGAGAAGGTCTCTGGCTTTCCATATCATCAGGAGATTTCTTAGTATTTTCCTGTGCTTGTGTGCCCGTCTTAGGAATTTTTCTGGTGTTTTCTCAACTTAGTTCTCTTATGTCATTCAAATTCTGGATTTCCTCCAAGGCCTCAGGAGCCAATGGTATCTTTCATTCCTCTATAAGCAATGAATTTTTCTGTAAAACCTGTTTATTTATGCTTTTTTGAATTTGCTAAAATTTTACATATTTCTTCTCATGCACGTGTAATATCAATCTTGTGAAATTTTAATGCTCCAGTAAATAAGGTTTATAGAATCAGTCCAGTTACTATTAAACTCACTGGGAGTCCTTTCATTACCTTGAAGAGATTTTCTATCTTTGTAGTAGGATGAATAAGAGAGTATAGATCTTTGTAAGGCAGTGTTCTCAGATGACAGTGTGACATCTTAAAACCTGAAATACAGATAAGCAAAGTGCATTTTATACTAGTTCTTTTACATTGGTTACCAAGTGCCTTAACACCAGTTATCATTTCTCAAAACTACAATACTTATCTATTAGTTTATTTATAGATGTAATGCTTTAATCCCTTAACATAATAGTATTGATGATAATTATGGCATTACTTGCAGTAGTAGTACACTAAAAATAAATGAATATATGGTAGAATGACCGCATTTTGAAATGTTGTATTGAAAATCAATAGTGCTTTGTAAGTTGTTTGATTTTTGTGGTCTTAGGAAGTTTAGGAACTTATCGCTATACAAAATGGATTTTTAGTTGTTGCTGTCTGCCAAAACTAGAATGATTCTCAGAAAAGAAACTAACAATTCGCCTCAATGGGCATTTGGTATGTGTAACTCAAAACTTCACTTGACCTGTGGAAAAATCGGGTTTTCCTTATTGCCCCATAAAACATGGAAACATGGAAAAAGACAGATGTTAATTAAAAGTCTTGTGTAGTGAAATGACCACAGACGTGTGGGGAAAATATACAATTCCTTCATTGATGTTAGTGGGCTTTGGACCAGGCTACCTCTTTCTGCATCAGAGTGCAATATGATTTTTTGCTGAGATAACAAAGCAGGCTTTGTTTCAAGTTAGAATATGATGTCATGTGTTTAAAATTTATTATTTAGATTAATAAAAATTTGGAATTGGTATTATAGTGTCAAAAACTTACCAGTGCTCAGGTAGACACATGCCTGACCACATCAGTTGCAAACATGCAATTGCCATTGAAGTCAGCAATGAGTGGTTGCATCCCAGATCTTCTTGACTTTTCTCACTCATTTCCCAAACCCTGACTCAAAGCAATTCCTGAGCAAACAGCTAAGAAATCAAAGTAAATGGCAATATGGATTGTGCCAGAGAAGTGAGTAGGAGAAAATTACATATGGAAATCCTTGAAGAATTGGAAAGTTGGAAAGAAGACAGATGAATTTTGTAAGAAGGTTTCGTATTTTGATGCTGTTAAAATGAAATAAAATCAAACAGTCCCTTCCCCTGATTTTCCCTCTTACATAAAATAAGCAGAAATCCTAATGTGCTAAATGAAAGCTCCTTAGTCTGTGGTGGTTACTGAGCTTAGTGTTGTTCATAATGCACAATTAAAGCAGAGTATCAGCAGCCACTTGTACTAACTGTGTAGTTTACATGCAAGAAAAACTTCGTCTGGAGACAAGATGTGAGTTTTTCTGGGTTTGGTTTGATTTTGACTTCTTTGTAATTTTAACGGAATTTGGATGTGCTGAATTAAATTTCAGCTTCTCCAACCCCTTCTCTCTGACTGTGGGGTTCCCCCACCTCCTCCAGTCTACCTCACGATTCAGCTACTTAGTTGAACAATAGCTTTCTTAGAAGATTTATTTTTGAATGCTTGGATTTAGTTAATTCTTTTCTAACTAAGATGGTATATTACTTGAGTAACGTGAAGTAATCCTGCAGTAAAATGACCCAGATCAAGAGGGTTTTTATTTATCTTGGGAAAGATACTCTCTCAATAAAGATAGGCAGCATAAATTTTCTAGGCTATGGATAGGATCATATTGGGTCTGCTACTGCTTTCTTCTTTGGTGCAATTCTAAATCTGCAAATGCTATTATGTAAAGAGCACAAGACTTGCAACCCAAGTAGAAGTGCACACATTCCACTCACATGCTAGTTTATGTTTGGATGTAATCTGGCAGGATGTTTAAATGAGAGGTACATTTTCAGTTGTTCTGATTTCAGTAGGTTTCTCTGTCAGTATGGCAAAGATTCACTCATTGACTCAGAAAGTCAAAAGACGACACCTGAAATAAGGAATTGTGCGATAGAAAGCAGTCATATCAACAGAATAATAATTTTAGTTTTGTCGTCTGTTTTATTGGCTCCTTAAGAGCTGATGATTTTAGAAGTACGTTTGGATCTAATTCTACAGGTGCCCCAAACCCTTAATGCACTGTATTTTTTTTTACAGTTACCTTGCAACATCAGTGGGTAGTAACAAATTATGCTTTATTGAAGATAAAGGAAGAAAATAAAATATTGATCATCACCTGAAATAGCACAGGTTGATAAAGTCTAAAAATCTTATGCATATGAATAGTAATTTTTAATATTTCAAGACCAATTTATATTTCTGACTTAGTTATTGAACCATTAATCTTGTACACTCGTACGTACATGACAAAAGAGGACTTGAACTTAGAGTAGGAATTTGACAGACCATTGGGGACCTTAGAGATGAACGTGTCCTTTTTAGTTACTTTTTTGCAGTTAGACTGGTGTGTCCTGTGTAACAATCTCAAAATTATTTCTTCTTGTAGAAAACAAGTATAGTTAAAAACAGTCCAGTGATGCTTGTTCTTTTCCTCATCTTCCTGGTGTTTGGACCTTAAAGAGAGATCTCTAACCTTAACTTTGAAAAAATTTTATTCTGTTTATTAGCTGATTGATATTTGATATTTATGGTCAAGTTCAAATAGATCACTTTAAAAATAATTTTTTACAGATTGAAAGACACGATAACTGTGCATATGACTACTTGGAAATTCGAGATGGAGCAAATGAAAACAGTCCTTTAATTGGTCACTTTTGTGGCTATGACAAGCCAGAAGACATTAGATCTACCTCTAATACACTGTGGATGAAATTTGTTTCTGACGGAACTGTTAACAAAGCAGGATTTGCAGCTAACTTTTTTAAAGGTAAATATTGAAATATATTTTGGGAGCTGTGCACTGCTTATCACTTGGTTTTGTACTGGAAAACATATAATAGGATATGAAAAATATTTTTCAACTTATTTTGTCTAAAATCAGTTCTGTACTGTCTCCAGCATATTTTACTACCTGAGTATGTAATTTTATCAAATGAGAACAATTGAGATCTATCTCCTTATAAATTATGTCCAAAGAATGAAGAGAGATATTCAGTGCAACTTCCTGCTCTCTTCAGGTTCAAATGAACAGTTCAGTTTTGAAATATCTTTGAAACATATCTTATCTTGCAAAAAAATGTGGGTTTTTTTGACATATTGTGTTATCAAACATAAGGTTAAACAGTATAATCACAACAGAGGCAACTTGGTCTTTTCTGTTAAGGTTTTTTTCTTTTGTCTAAATGTGTTTTTTCTAATCCTGTTACTGCAATAGACAACTTTATCAATTTATGACTTTCTGTAAGCAAGAAAAAAATAATACCATTGAGAAATCATACAGTGACCAATGGCCTCACAGTCTCCCTCCAGTTTTGGGATGGGTGTGTGTCATACAATTGCAGCTATACCCGCACCAGTTGGTGCATAGGGAGTGTGTAATTCTTACCCTGTGCTACCCATGGTGACACCTGAAATACACGTCACACCACCAGGAGAACCTTTTTGCTCTTTTGAAAAGCCACAATCTGGGACTTTTTTCACCCTAACTGTTAGTTTTCACTGTAGACAATCATCACCTTGAAGGCTGTAGACGTGAGTGGGAGCTCTGTTTTATTCTGAAGAGATTATTTGTCCTGGTATAGGAAACAATATTTCAACATCTGAGGAATATTTTAACAATGAATCTCGTGGGTATACTTCAGACCTAGTAGAGATAATACATTATTCCTTTCCCTCCCCCATCTCTGATGCATCTTGTTCTCTTTAATATCAGTAGAATGAAAACCTGGGATTTGAGGATTCTGTTAATCTGTTCTTGAGTATGAATTTGGGCTAATACACAAATTGATTCTGTTGGAGATAAAGTGCCCTTCAAGTGACCCTGCTGTGGATTTTCGATTTTTCTTTCAATATTTTATACAACCTTTAGATTATGGCTGCCTGAATTATTGTATGCTGCCCACAAACTGCTTATAAATTAGGTCTGCAGCTGTCAGTAGGTATTGTTGTAAAAAAACCCACCCAATCCCCACAAAGGACAAATTTTTATTTTCTCCATTGCAGGTCTCCTTAGCGTTTGAAAATGCTCTAGTCAGCAACCAGAGTGTGTTATATAGTGCACCTTATAATGGCATGTGTACAGCTTTCTGGGTTAATATTGATCCAGCAATTACAGCTGAGGAAGGTAATTATTTAACACGTTTTTGCATTCTTCCCTGTCTTGGCAGAGGAAGATGAATGTGCCAAACCTGACAATGGTGGCTGTGAGCAGCGCTGTGTAAATACTCTGGGCAGCTACCAGTGCGCCTGTGATCCTGGCTATGAACTTGGTCCTGACAAAAAGAGTTGTGAAGGTACAGTGCCTTGCTGTGTTATGGGCTCTTAAAGCTCACAGAGTGACATCACTTGAGTGAAAGGCCACACCTTTCCTATGCTCTGTCCTAGCAGTGTGAGATCTGTGGAACCCAGCCTGGAAAACCAGTGCTCCCTTTTAAGTAGTGGTGCCGGGGGGACGTCTGTCCACAGCAGTCATCATCGTCCTATGTCTGTCACTAATTTAGCTTTACAGGTTTTGCTGTTAGTCTATTGGGAACGATGCAAAGCAGAACTTTGTATCTCCCCAAACCACTTATTACATTATTCAGACTCATTAAAGCAAAGTCTTCCCCCGCGCATAAGGAGACAATTATCAGCAGAGCAATGTGCCACTGTCTGAGGAGTATCTGATGATCCCTCTGACCACCTCTGGCTGGGGTGTGACTGGGAAGGTGTCTGGTATAAAGAGCAGCAGGATCCTTTATTCTAGCTAAAAGTTCAGAGAAATCCTCCCCACTCCCAGTCAGATTGTGGATTTTTCTTGCTGGAAACAAATTCTACATTTCAGGGTGAGAAAAGCACATTGAAATAATCATTTGGAGAAATAAAAACCTGATAAATGGAAGTCTGTGTAAACAGACTTTGGTAAGAAAAACTTGTGCATTTTAGATCTATTTCATATCAAAGGAAAGAAGCAGAAGCTTTTGATTATTACATACCGATTCTTGTTTGATTTTTATTCATAAACACCAGTAAATTCAGGGATAGCACAAATTATTCTTATCTCAGTTTATCTGTTTGTTTCAGCAGTGAATGGAGTTTGAAAATTGGAGTGCTCAGGGTTATGGTTTTCTTCCAGTGTGATTCTCTGGTCTCTCTCTGTCCCTGGTTTTGATTTGTGATTTGTCACAATTTTGGGTGGTTTTGCTTAGTGTTTTTGCACTTTCTTCTTTTCCTTTGGTTCTGCAGGGTTGAGTTTTTTGCTTGTTTTGTGTGTGTGTGTGTCTGTGTGAGGTGGTGATAGTCCTAGTCTACAGGCGTGTTAGACTGCAGCTCTCATCAAGCTAGTGGGTTCTTTGGTTGTTTTTTTTTTCTTTCCTCAACTTTATTAGTGAGCACATTGGAAAAACATTTTATTTCAAAAAGCCTATTGTATTAAGATGTCTGCATATTTAGGCAGTATGCAGAAAGTAAGGTTAGTCTAACGAGGGCCATGAAGACAGGTTTGATCTCTGGGCCTTTGGTCATTGGCCCAAATTTATGTAAGGAATTTGATTTTGTCTGCCTGCTGATCTGAGTCAGAATATGAGGAGAGATCACCAGTCTTGCAGAGGACTCTTCTCTTTGCCTCTGAAAAATAGAGAAGGAATACCTCCCTGGCAGTCAAACAGAAAAGCAGCTCTGGCAAAAAGAGGAGTCGTTCAAAGCAGCGCATTGCAGCATGGAGTAAAATCCCTGAGCTGTCCCTTAAAGTGTAAATGCATTTGTTCCATGCAAGGTAGTACTCACTGTATGTAGATACTATTTGGCACAGCTGAATTAGAATCACTGTGTAGTCACAGTGAGCATTACACTGTAGTTGTAGTTTGGGAATTTGGGGGTGACCTAGCCGTATTAATTCACACACGATGTCAGAGTAGAAGCCTCTAATGCAGAAACTCTGCCCAATGCTTTGCTGCAATGTTGACATGCACAGAAAATTGTTTCATGCTGGTCTAATCCAAATCTCCCCTGCTGGCAGCATATTAGAAGGCTTTAAGAGGTTTGAGGTTTTTTTTTTCTATATTTCCATGTTTCCCACCATTGCCTCAAGGGACAATCGTGATGTTGAAAAGCAGAAACTGAAAACTAGCAGTCAGTTGTCACCCTGACCCAAACCGGATCATTTTGGGGTATAACTTGTGTCATCTGAGTGTGATCTCTAAACCTGTGCCCTGTATTTTTTGACACACTGAGGTGTGACCCGGGGTCTTAGTGCTCCCAGCCCTGTCGGATTACCTTTCTGTGAAGTCCTTTTCGTGGAAAGCCAGGTGCCAGGAGGAAGACTGGTGTATGTCTGCTGGCCAAGTGTGCCGACACAGGAACTGGAGAGTTCTCCCAGGTGTGTTAGATGAAGTAGGTGTAGTGAGGGAGACCATCAGCTAGACAGGAATATCTTCCCGCACCAGCTCATTAGAAAGAGATTTGTGGACGATTTCCAGTGCTGTCACAGTGCTGGAATGGTATCAATGGAGGAGAGTGTGATCGAGAACTCCTGCAAATCCCATTACTTTCCTTTTTTTTTTATGTTTTTTTTTTTCCACAGGTGGAAAAGATTAATGTGTTTATCCTTTGCTATCTGAACTGCATTGACAATAGTACAGTATTGTTCTGTTGTATGGAGATGACTCTTATTTCCAAATATGTGCCAAATAGGTGTTTTCTCTGTTACTTGAACATCCATACTTCAGCAAAAGTAGTTGCGACTGGAAAGTACGTGACTGCTATCCCAAAGAAGTGACCCTATCTAGCAGGTTATGGGAGGCCTATTCAGCTATATGAGCTGAGACAGGTAGGGCTGATTCTGGATCAATAATCAAGAACAGAAGCTGAGGAAACGCGAAGCGCATCTTAAGTAGTCTTTCTGTCAGAAGAGGGGTGGTCAAGGTCCTGGGGAGGGTGGTGAGGTCAGAGGACTTGCATGGGAAAGGCTGTGAGAGAATAACCAGAGTCTCTGGAGGGAAGGGAAAAGAATGAATATGATAACGCCTCATGTAGTCCTGAAACTTATCTCTGTCCGCAAACCTGCAAGCTGTTCAAGATAGGGGCTGTCTCCTTCTCTTTGTTTGCACCAAGCATGATAAAACAAGATTCTGATTATTCTGTCTGGGCATTACAGCAGTATAAGTAATGAGAGGACTGAATCTTCTCAGTGTGCTTCTGTTTATAGTAAAACACAGTTTCAGTTAAGAAACAATGCTCTCCCTTTTAATTTTACAGCTGCTTGTGGAGGACTCCTGACAAAGCTAAATGGGACTATAACCACACCAGGGTGGCCCAAAGAGTATCCTCCAAACAAAAACTGTGTGTGGCAGGTGGTTGCCCCAACGCAATACCGAATTTCAATGAAGTTTGAGTTTTTTGAGTTAGAAGGGAATGAAGTAAGTAACCATGAACAAAGAACTACGTAATCTGCTACACGCTAAACAGTTTCACAAGTATTCAAAAATAGATACTGTCTTGTAAAACCCTTGCTGACTTCATGTGCTGACAATAACCATAGATATTCTTGTTTTCGTTTTGGGACTGTTTCTGGATTCTTTCAAAACAAACATGGAGAGAATAGCTCTCTTTTACATATCATCTAAATGTATATGTATTACAAGAAATTTAAAAGAAATGTTCTCTGCTGAGTCTCAGCTGACTTTTTTTTATCAACAAAGTAAAACAGAGCAAATGGCTGAGGCATATTGGAAAGAATTCAAGAGAAGAAAATCTGGAGAAACCAAATCATCTTTACAGACTATGACTACAAAGAATACACATAAGCTCTAGTTAGTGACGGAGTGAGGGAGCGTTTAAATCACTTGCAAGTATCTCATGGGGGGAAAATTTTAAAAGGACCAGTACCAGAAATAAGGCACACCATAAAGACAGCAGCATTTGAGGTGGGCAGCCTGTGGAAGTATGGACGATCTTGTGCCCAGGTGGGATAGAGGGGCAGGGCAAAGCCCTCCATGTGGTAAGGGCTGCTCCCTACAGCTTTGAAAAAAGTCGTGGGTGTTCCAGTGTTTTTCAGGTGCAAATGAGTAAGATATGGATTTCAACATCAACTTCTCAGCCCCTGTTCTGCTTTCTAGGCACTGCTCTGTCATACTGTTGAGTTCCCCTGCCATGCTCTAGCCATCATGTTCTGTAGCTGTCGAGTTTATCTGCGTGTTCTTCACATGGTGTTAAGAACCTAAATCCCAGGATGTTATTTCTGACTTAAAAAAATTTCTAGCAACATATTTGATATGAGAATGAGTTGTGTTTTGGGCATGAAATCTGAAGTGGCAAAAGTTGGACTTTAATTTATAACTAAGAAACAACCCAGCCGTGGCTTCTCAAAAATGTCTCAAAATCATGTGCAGAGGCAGCAATGTGAGATTTTATTTATTTTTTTTTAAATAATTTAAATCCATGAGATCCCAACTTTTAATGATTTATATGTTATACTCATACCTTGTTATCATTGTTACAAGAATTGCAGGTGTAATAAAAGCTTACAAGTCCCGAAGAATTAAAATTTAATTACCATTTGCACGAATCATAAAACATTTCTCCTGTGTTTTTTTGATACTTAAGCCAGATTTTGCAAGGAAGACACCTTGCAAGTTAAGTCAGTTTTCTAAGGTCATACAAGACATATATCTTAAGCAGATTTGAAAAAAAAAAAAAAAAAGATGTTTTTGAACATTTAGAACTTTGGATTGATCCTCTCCTGTGCTACTAAATCTCAGCTTTGTACCATTAAATAGTAGTACTAAGAATGATACCTGTGAAAATCAGAAGAAACATATCTGGAACATTCTAATATATTGTCTGAGTGCAGACATAAAATGTATACGTTTCGCAAATGCTCTATTTTTTTTTTTTTAATAGAAACTCCATTTAGGACCAAGTTTAATATGTCTTTTCCTATATTTCAATTTTAATATTTTACACTTACATTTCACAATTTTGATTTTACATTTAACGTGTAAGATTTTTTTTAAATATTGTGTAATATGAAGGAAGTTACACTTAATGAAATTAGATTTCACTTCTAATCTAAAGCTATGAAACTGTCAAAACTCACCACTGATGTATTGCTGAAATAGCTGGGATTTGTTAACGTCGTGAGCTATATTTGAAAATCACATGCATTCACATTAATTTGTCTTGCAGTTAATATAAATCAGAGTGTGGCAGTAACTCCAGTTTTATAAATCTCTGTGTAGTAGCTTCAGCTGAATTAGTCACTTTCCAACTCTGCAACATATGAAATTTGTTCCAGTAACAATGAAAATGTAATCTACTTCTAGAATGTATTATATTCAAAAAAAATTGGAAATGTTGACCATCATTTAATATTTTATAGGGAGAGAGAACCTAAAAAAGGCCAAAACATTCTTTTCTATAGTTCTCCTCCAGCTTCCCTGACATTTCTTTTTTGACTAAAAACTGCGGTTTGTCAAATATAACTTGGATTTAATGGACAATCTAAGCTTTTATGAATCCTCCTGACCACTATTTTCTCTTAAGCTATTAATTGCAGACAACTGGGACATTTTTGATTAAACGATTGATAGTTGAGCCTAAGAAGCTTAGAAGTTTTTGGGTGGAAGGCTTTAGGTTGACCAAGGGATTATGAACTGAAAGTATTATCATGAATAGTAGGCCTTGCATAAGGCTTTTTTATTCCATTATTTTACTTTATTTTTTAACCTTTTAATGAAAATGTCATGCATCAGCCCTCCAAATTCTAGCTATGCTACACTTAAAGAAAGATATACATAGTTTTAATAATGCAGATTTATATATTTGTAAATAAAAGAATATATCTCAAATACATTATGGTAAAAAACTATCTTTTAAGTTTCTAAGTGATGATTAGTATTTTTAAAAAAATCTATGAGATGCAAGCAGTAGAAGGTTTGTAGGTTCTAGGTATGTGGTTCGTAGCGCAAAGATAGGTATAATTTTTAAGATGAGTATTTCTAGATTTTAGTGTAATGTTACGGGAATTTTTATTTTTTAGATTAAATGGAAATGTTACTAAGCATGTTGAAATTTATATACTAAACACAGATTAGTAGCTATCAAAATATAGCTTGAATGTAATGCATAGTGTAGCTATGCCTTAATGACCTTAAATATTCTTACTCAAAGCCAGTGAAAGTTTGTAACAAATGTTTTCAGTGTCAGCGAAAAGTGACAAGATATATCATTATTGTATTATTAAGCAGCATATACCAATTGGGGTTCTTGCATTTGTAGATAACTTCATGCTTTGCTTCTCGTTAGCCAAAAAAAATATTTTCTTTCTTTTTTCAGGTTTGCAAATACGATTATGTAGAGATTCGTAGTGGCCTTTCTTCTGATTCTAAACTCCACGGTAAATTCTGCGGTACAGAAGTGCCTGAAGTTATCACCTCTCAGTACAACAACATGCGAATTGAGTTCAGATCTGACAACACTGTGTCAAAAAAAGGCTTCAAGGCACACTTCTTCTCAGGTACTGAAAATCACTCTTGTGTACCTGTGAGTGACTCTGAGCATACGCTGACTAGATGGAGTGAATACTATATTTTGGTAGGAAAGTGAATGGCCTTTTCCCTTATAATTTTCCTGGTAGCTTTGACTTTGTTTTATTTACATAAGCGTAAATCACCCTCCTGTCTTAAAATACTCTTCTGAATTTTAATGTCTGTATGTAGCAGAAAATATATGTAATGCATATCTATATTTTTTAAAAAGGGAAGAGACAAATGAACTTTGTGAGATACAGAAGAAAAAAGCAAATTTACTAAGTGTTTTTAAATTTTGATTAGATTTCTTTTATCCCAAGTTTTGTTACTATGTTTTCAAATACCAGTTGAAACGTGATAGGAATTACGTACATTGTACACATTTGTTTAACATTATGGGCTCTTTCTTGCCAAACTCTGCGTTTCTTAATGTTTTTCAGAAGAACAGAATTTAAGACCTTGCTCTTGCAAAAACGTGTGTCTTTTTAGTTATGAGTGTAATTTCACTGAAGCAGATCAGAGTGATGGAAGTTCGTATCATCTGAGGACATATATTGTTGAATAAAGTTAGACACGAGTGAAGCTGAAGATGTGAGGAAATATTTGCGCAACAGTGGTCTCTGCAATTACCCTTTGAGCCTAGACTGTAATAATCTAGCTGTGACAGGTTACCACCTGGTGTTAGTAGTGGAATTTTGCTTAGTGTTTCTCTTGTGTGTTTACACACACACACACGGTCATAGGTATGTTATCTTGTGTAAAACAGCACAAAAAACAGTCCTGTGTGCCCACCTCCCCAAGCTGTATGTCATCCAGAAGCATTTGGGATTTGAATTCTGCCCCAAATTTTCTGATAGCAGTTAAAAATCTGAATCTGGAGAATCCTGATTATGTTTAGCATGCAGCAAAATGTATTACCAGGCACTGTTATTAGCATTTGTTTGCTAGAATATTTTGTCAAAGCTGAAATGAAAATGGTATTTCATTGTATAGCTTTAGTAACTGATAACAGCGATGACCAAGTAATAAGAATCAGTATATATATATATATATTCATATATTCATATATAAGTGATGTGGTTTGGAAAGTGAGGAAAACAACTGTCAAGACAAACAGTTTAGATTTTCAGTGTATTCTCATTATGACTACTTTGATTTTTTTCTTAAGCAAATATGAAAGATGAAAAAACTGAAATTAACAATGATTTTACCTCCTCTAAAGAGTATTATTTTTTCTAGTAATCACTTTTCTCTGGTCATAGTCTTTCAGATCCGTCTTTATGTATAGTAATACTTTTTACTTTTAAATCTATATTTTACATTAGAAAGAAGCTTTCAAAGTTTACTCATTATTTGTAGTAAACGTGTGTACACACAACAGAGCTTCCTCTTAGAAACAGCTACAAAACTGGTAATTTCATGTAGGCCTAGTAGTGCCAGCAAGAATTGTCACATATTTTGACTTTTTACAAGAATAAGTATTGACATGTTCCAGTTCTAAAAATGGCACACAAATTAAACTTGTTATATATTTTTAGGATCTATACAGTTATGCCAGATAAGATTGGCAATGATAGCTTTGTAATTTGTGTAAGCTCTGTAGTTAAGAAGTTGTGTTTTGTGGACATGCTGAACGTTTCTGTTTATACTCAGTTTAAATTTTGGTTTTCTTTAAAGTGATAGTTCATTTTCACATATTTATTTATTTATTTATTTATTTAAGTGATTGTTTAAATGATCGATTAATGTTACGAGTGGGTTCTAGGAAGAAATCAGGCCAGTGCTGTATGTTGGGGAAAGACTAGACTGTAATTCATGGAGTTCAAAGCATCAGATTGTAATCCTTCATAACCATTATTTCCCTTGCTTTTTTTCAGTTCTGAATGAAATATTCTACCCTTCCCCTCTCAAGGATGTAAACAGTTTTTTTCTGGTTATTTAAAAAAGTTTTAAATGACGCCATTGATCATTAGAATAAATTCATTAGCCCGAGATAAGTCTGATCTGTTTTTTAATGAATACATGTATATGATGTGTCCTGGATATAGTATATATCTAATTCCCTTCAAAGAAAGATAGTTTGATATAAATAGTCTTTGAGCCTGTAAGTATATAAATTTACTGAATGTTTCATAATGCATTTCTGCCATAATATCTTCTCTCGTTTCATATGAGTTCAGAGACTTTGAATTTTATTTTTAATCTTTCTCAATTCTCTTCCAGTTGTTATCATTTCTAGCAGATTCTATTCTTCTGTGTTATCTGGCTTTCCCCTTTTGACTATATTTTCTGATCAAAACAGAAACTTTGTAGTGCTTGACAGAAATCAAACTTCTGAACTTAAAGCATCTAGAAAGAGGTTGTCATCTCTGAATAATTCACCAGAAAAAATTCTCATGGTGGTCAGAAAACACTATAAATTTCTGACCACTGAATTCCTTACTATAATATGCTATTGGCCGGTCAATGAAGAATGAACTTGAGACTTCAAGTATTTTGATTTTTCAGAGTTGATAACTGGTCACTGTTCAGCTGATGAAGTGGAGTTTTTTGCCTATTTATGTCTTCAAAATACAATACTGTTAGAATGATATTTTTGGAGAAATACTTCATGCTAGTGCTTAAGATACTTGCTGGAATTTGTTTAACAGTTATATTAATTAAATCACAATAGAAATATGTATAAGCATTTAGTTATAAAGACTTACATCATGAAAAAAATCAATAATGAATGAAACTCTGCATCTTGCAGTCTGTTCACCAGTAAAGGGCATATGCAGCGCTCAGCAAGAGAGACAAGTGGATAAATTGGATTAGGAACTGTAATGTGTTCCTCAAGCACAGCCAAAGAACACTTCTTTTTTTTTTTTGCAACTCTTTTGGTGTTGAATTCTGCAGCCACGGCCATAGTTGAGAAAGCATGGCCCAGATCCAGCTCAGACAACAGAAAGCAGTTTTTGGGTGGTTGGAACCCACTGTGATAAATTGTGAAAGCAAACAGTGACACAGGGCAACAGATGACCTTCATTAGGAAGGTATTTATGTTGATATAAGACAACATGTAATTACATTTTTGGCTGTAAAATGGTGTTAACAGCCAGACAGGTGCTACTGGAAAGTGAGAAAAACTTTTTTTTCAACAATCTGTAAAATTTACATTTGATGGGATAGTTCTGAAGAAAACTCAGTTGCGAGCCATTGCAGGAATCTAGCAAATCTCCAAAGACACTCTTGTATATTTATGATTGAGTTTCCTGTATAAAGAGAAGAAACCAGGGAGTCATGATATATTAATTTTTTGAAACCTTTATTAAAGCTTTTTGGAATTTGATGTTAGTATTCTAAACTAAAAGCTTCCAGTAATTAGGTTTTATTGTTTCTCTCGCTTTCTTCTGTCCGTCTCTCTCTCTCTCTCTCTCCTCTTGTTAGAAGACAGTGACCTATTGCAGTCTGCTGGGCCCATAGGACTAGAGGAGAGTAAAATAACTCCCTAAATTTACCCTAGGGACGAAAAAAGATAATATTATTTTTTTTCTATGATGTTTCCAAGAAGATAGCTTAACTATTTCTTTACATCAGTCTTTGTGTAATCAAAGTTGTGTGATCAATACCTAGTTATAATATGTCACTAAACGGCTTCAATTTATTGTAAGTTCTAGAGTTACTTCAGTGTTTTAAATAAACATGATTCTTTGCATGATCATTAAAAACATACATGGTGTTTGATGCAATATAGAAATGAGGTTTGTTGGGACGTTTTTTCTTGAGTGATGATTCACTGAGCAGATAAAAAGAGAAAACTAGAGAATGTTTCTTGCCTTGAGCAAATTTCCTTTGGAGCACAAACTCATCTCTGGTGCCATCCTGGTACATTTCTTTTCCACAGACAAGAAAGCTGCCTGCAAAGAGAAAATTTTTGTTTTTGAATCTTGCAAGGACTTGATACAGGTCCCTTCAGGCCGAGTACGTATTATTCACAGACTGGTGGCCTCTGAGGGTCTCAGAGGTACGACCATTTGTCCTCTGAATGATTCAATCTAACATTTTGTTGAGAATGGATCTTTCCCTGTTCTGAGTACTGAAATGAGAAAAGAAAGTATCCATTCAAAATGGGGAGACTCATTTCCATCTGTCAGCATAACAAATGGCTTTGTTTTTATGTGGCAAAACATTTGTTCCTATAACTAATACAGACTAATTGTTTTTTCATGAATTTTGAAACTGGGCAATCAATTTGACAGAAAGTCTGTTCCGAGTTATGAAGTGTGAGGAAGGCTTGTTCAACAGTTGCATCCTTGATTAACCATGTACAAGTAATTATTGTGGTTCAAATATGTTCCAAAGCTTTCCCTTTCTACCTTCTGTCCGTTGTTTTATCTCTGAGGAGGTACAACATGGGACCATTTGCTTATGCACTTGTCTCTTAAGAGATTATTTTACAGAATATAAGCTTATTTAATGTTAAAATACTTTTCAGAATTTTCACACAGTTTGGTGGAAGATGAAAATGGACAGGGCTTTTACTTAGAATTTGTGTACCTACTCTGTACTTGAAAGCCTGACTTGAATGCATTTTGAGCTCGCCTTCCATTTAATTTGTTATTTTGGTAGAAAACTACAAACTAATGCTTAGGAGGGGGAGTACTGAAGAGTTTTGTTCGTATTATATCTAATTTCTCATTTGCTTGTTACTGTTCTTCACTTGCAACATGGAGTTAATTTATGATACTGCTTGCTTTTGCAAAGATGAAAGATTAAAAATCTGGTTTGAAATGAAATAGATTTACTACCTCAGATTGGGACTTGCATTGCAAGGTGCATAAATAGTGTATTGTGCAACTTTTATGCTTCTTTCATCATCAGAATGACGACTAGTATAAGCCTTTGGATGTGTGATTCTGGGAGCTGTCTATATTTTCGACTGTTTCTTAACCTTCAGATCTGTTCGCATCTGCAGAAACTTTCTGAAAACATTTGATGCAAACAGATTTGAGATTTACAGGACAAAATGCAGTGGTTGCTTGGATTCGACTTGCAGAATTTATCTATAAATGTACATTATCATCATTTATTATGAGTAGAAGCTGATTTTTACAGAAAGACCTGCAAGTCAACAGGTCAAGTGTTGCATACTTCTTGCCAGGTAAATCTGATATGTATGCAATTGTAATGCAAACATCCTTTGTTGTGTTACTGAATATTGAGTGTCAGTAAAGGCAGAAAAAAAAATACATGAGTAGGACAACAAAAAGAGACTTAAATTATCCACAGTGGCTTGTAATCTATAGAAATTCTTAACTGTACCTACTGCAGTCTGAAACATCACATGTTACCTTGTTTGGAGATAATGCTCGCTGCTGCTTTCCAAGGTACACGAGGCTGAAGAGGGTGAATGCTCTGCATTCCAGCCCTGCAACAACTAAACCTCTGGGATGACCACAATTTCTTTATTCTTTTTCCTCCTCTCTTTTGCATATTGAAATGACACCTTTTTTTTAAAAATAAGTGTGTGTGTTTATATATGCATATATTTATATAGGTATATCTTTTATATGTCAGGATTTATATATATGTGCCTACACATATATAGGTATATACATGTGCATACATATATGCATGTATGTGTACATATATGTGAGGAGCAGTGTGCCCCTTTCAAGTGGACCAGCCTCACCTAAAATGACAACAAATGAATGACATAGAAGGGTGGCAGCTGAGGCCTCTTGCTAGAACGACAGCCTGTTAATCTAGTTTGGCTTTTTTCCATGCAATGAATTTGTAGCTGTTTAATGCAGGTCATGTTTCCTCTCCTGTTCTCTGCTTTACTTCTAACACACTAAAAGCTCTTTTGAAGGATTATATGGTAATAAACAGAACTGCATGCTATATTGTAGATCTCATTGAAATAACTAATGCCAGTTTCTTTTGTATGTTTTTCAATGAAATGTTTTTCTTTTTGTGATGTTCTGTAATGTCCAGATTTGTTAAAAGTAAAGCACACTGTCACTCTGCTGGGGAAAAAAAATAATCAACTTATTTAAAAAGTTTATGTTAAATCCTTCTTTCCTTACATGTTTAATGTGCAGACCTTGAAACCTTGTTTGGCCTACATGTTCCTTTCAACATACCACCATTAAATTGTGGAATTTGCGTAAAGTTGGAATACTCTGTGTTGTCTATAAATTACACTTCTGTCCTTTACTGAAATAAAGCTTTGGATGAGATATTTATGAAATTTTTACCAGATAGACCACTTTAAAGAGTAAACACTGGTTTAGGTCTTATCCCCTTTGATTTAGCTTGTTTGTTTTACTGGAGTTCTTCTTCCCTTGGAACTACCCCTCATTTCCTAGAACAATGAGACAGACTATTTGTGCCATGGTACAAGGTTTCAGGCTGAGCAATGAGTGGCTAGGACTAAGGTACCATGAAACTGCCATACTGAGAAGAGTGACTGTGCCTTAGCTTATCCTTTTCTGGACTCAAACACATTGCTAGCTCTTTTTCTTTTTGATAACGAGAACTACTGCTAGCTGTGATGCTCACCTGACCTTGTTGTGTATTTCTTAGACAAGGACGAGTGTTCGAAGGACAATGGTGGCTGCCAGCATGAGTGCATCAACACAGTAGGAAGCTATGTTTGCCAGTGCCGAAATGGATTTGTGCTACACGAAAACAAACATGACTGCAAAGAGGGTAAGTAGTAAGGTATTTAACAGTTGATTATACAACTGTCTTGCAAAGACAAAGTCCTTCGAAAGAAAAGAAAGGAAAGAAAAAGATCTTCATAATGGAGGCTTAGAAATTTGGGCTTAAGCACTCCCCACTCCACTTTCTCTGTCCTCTCCATCCCAATCATTTGTGTGTGGCTGAGTTTGAGGTCCACAAGAATGCAGTTCGGAAAACTTGGGATTGTTGGCAGGGAGCGGTCCTATTAGTTGTGCTGTGAAATGTAGAACATTTAAATTTGTGATATGCTATTTATCTAATACTGTGTTAAGCACAGGTATAGTTTCTGGAGAGAGGCCTGGTAAAGTTGTCATTTGCTCCTATCAGTATCAGTTAGTTTCGTTGTAGTCAGGTTGAAAGTGTATCCACCCTTTCTGGATTTATTTTAGGGAACATATTCAGACAATCTAAATTCCAGTCAAGTCCCTATGAATCTTCCTTCCCATTTGCTGTCTCAAGATGTGGCTACCTCCAAGAAAGCAGTGGGCTTTGGGGCTTAAGTAGAGTTTAGATTTTCTGCAAATGAACTTCAATTATGCAATAACGTGAGCTACTGTAATTTCTCAGGGCTGTATTCTAGCATGGATTTAATTTGTGAATAAAGATGTGCCCTGGGTGAATCACTTGCATTTTCACTGGTGTTGGAATGATATTACTGCCTCTAAAAAATTCTCGTTGAATAATTCTCTATTTATAAAGCAATTTGAGATTCTTAAAAAACTAAATACAAACATGAAACTAGTTGCTTCCTTGCCTTCTGTGAGTTTTAGTTCTTTGTATTTATTCACAGAGATGGACTTCTAGTGATTCAGTTATGATGTGAATGACTAAGCTGCTGTTGGTACATACAGTTTAGTCTTGGCTGTTCTCTAGTTGCCTGTGTGTCTCTAGAAACTGGTTTAGAAATCAAAATGATTACTCTGTAGCTGCAGTATGAAAATTAGCAAGAAGAGAGAAAAAAATTGTTCAAGAAATACCACTTGAAGTTGGAGTAGCAAGATTTCTCATACGGATTTTCGTACTTATTTGTATGTAGAATGGGGGAATAGCAAAATATTCAATTAAATTTTATTTAAGTATTTAATTATTAAGTATAAAGTAGGGGGAATAGCAAAATATTCAATTAAATTTTAATACTTACATATATTCCTTTATAACATTTTTTTTCCAAAAAAAAAAAACCACCATCCATTGTAAATAACTGTGTGTTTCACAATCAATAAACAAGCATCCTGTGTTTATTGCCATAGAGTGTTTGCCAAAGGGGAAGAACATGATAATGCATACTGCATGCTTAGCTGTCTTCCTAAGATCTTTTCCATTCAGTGGGTCCTCTGACAAAAAAAAAGGAGTACTTTTTCTGCCTACCTCTGGATGTAGACCCTCAGACTAACTGCTGTTATCCGTGTTGGCACAGCTGAGTGCGAACAGAAGATCCACAGTCCCAATGGCATCATCACGAGTCCCAACTGGCCGGACAAGTATCCCAGCAGAAAGGAGTGCACGTGGGAAATCAGTGCCACCCCTGGGCAGAGAGTTAAATTGGTAAGTCTCTGCCTACCCTTCCTTTTTCTCTTTTCTTCCACCCAACCTGCTTCTCTCCAATGACTACTCAATGATGCAAAACTGTTACTAACCTTTACTATGAGTTTGCAGCTCAAAAGAAAACAGTTTTAAAAACTTGCTGACTCCTGTCCTTTCCTGGCCTGCTGGGGCTACTCAGTGTCACAGACCTGTGAATTTAAGTTTGTGGTGATTGTAAATACTCTGGACAGCAAAGGGCAGGAGGAATACTTTCCTCTTGTCAGACTTTACTACATCATTGTTGCAATTAATAACATTTTGACAAATATGGCAGAGGCCATTTATGCAAACTCCAATATATAGAACAAACAAAAATAGAAGTTATGAACCGTCCTCTCCACACACTTTTTGCATTTCTGTATCGTACTTTTTGAGGAGGAAGAGAAGATATAAAAAACAAGAATCTGGACTTCTCATGTAGAAGTGGCTCCAAATGTTAACATAAGTAGAAGAGCAGCCTAAGTCGAGTTAAGTGACCTTTGTGTCCAGCTGGCTGAGGACAGTGCTAGTGGCTGAAGGTAGGCTAGTAGAGCTTAGGGAGCTTTGCAGATCTACTGAGGTTACTAGCCTCTGTACAAAGCCGAAGGCAGGGACCTGCCCAGGGGCTTTTTTGCTTTGAATTCAGCCTTAGTGTTCCTTCAGCCAGAGTACTCAGGGGACAGCCACAACAAAAGCTGATCTTACATATTTTAAAATCTGATAAATTATTTTAACAAATATTTTGGAGTAAATAAACTTAAGAAGAGATGTGTCTGCTTCAGAGAGGTAGAAGCAATAGCCAAGATTGATTCAGAGGTGAAAAGGATGTTGTAATCTCACAATTGCTGACCTTAGCCTAAACTGTAACCCCTGTTAACTGGTGCTGATGTGGGATTGTGTGTTGATTGCTGTTCATCAGAAGTAAAATGGTTAAAATGTTCAGGGTGATGCAGGGCCTGCAGAAAATGTGTGATGTGCATGCTCTGTCCATTCAAAGGGTGAAAACAGGTTTTTGATTCAGATGGCCTTTCTGCTGCAAGCCTTCTGAGCAAGCCTTTGTCATCTTGGCTGAATAAACCAAAACCAGCCAGGCATGAGCACATTACTGTAAAAGTTTTTTTCAGGACTTCTAACCTCAGCAGACAAATTTCTTTTTTTTTTTTTTGTGAAATATCACATGGTCTGTTTTAAAAGAAAAGTTTTTTAATTGGCTTTTGCCAGCGAATTGGAAAAATTAGACTTAGCTTTACTAGATAGTATTTTCAAAAATACCTCTATGATTTAAAGTCTAAAATCTGCTTTTCTGTGCAAGTCAGTAGGGTCAATCTACCAAATTCTGTCTGTATAGTATCTTTAAAGTCTGTCTAGTACAGCAAGGTGCCATATCAGTAATATTAATAATATTAATGCCAGACTTCTACTACAGATAAATATCTTTTCTTGGATTTTCACACTGTATTTTACACTTCGCATTTTACTTAGCCAAACTGAATAAGGAGATAATTGATTTCTTCATAGTAACAAACCACATGAATTGTGAGGCTGTGTTTCATTTTTTGAGATGAGTGTGTGTACAGAAACTAATCTTTTGTTGTGATTGCTCTCACTCTGATAATCATTAAAAAGTCTCTTCCTGAAAAGACTAAAGTTAAGCATTTGGTATGATTAAGAAGCCTATGAAAAAACGGGCATGCACTTCAGAATTTTTAAATGAAATGCGTAGATAAAGATGGCTTTGAAAATGTATGTAGTAGAGAGAGAGTTTTCATAACCTAATCAGCCGGATGTTTATAAGAGACAGATTTAAGTGTCCCATTCAGGCAGCTATCCGTAAGTGCCACCAACGTATCTACTCAGTTGAGTGCTATAGATAGAAAGGGCTGGATGTTCAGAAGCTACATGTAACATTTCTGAATGCCATTACTGCTAATGAGATGACCAAAATGAGGGCTGTAGCCGTGGTGGGGTAGGTATTCAAAAGTATTTGTCCCAGGAAGATGGAGTGTGACTTAATTATACTACCAACTTTATTAAATCTTCTGTGAAGTCTCTTGGCAACAGCTCTTCAGTCATGTTCAACCTGAAGGAAAGTTCTATTCTTTCAAGCCTGCTCTTAGTCTACTTCTGGGAACTGACTGCTTTTTAAAAAAATGCAGATAGTCTCTGGGTATATTAAAATATTAGGCATTTTGAGCTTTTAGAGAATATGAAGATTTGCTTTTTCCTTTAAAAAACACATTCCTTTGATTCTCTTTGTAATTGCTAGAAACACAATAGATTTAGAACTTTTTTCTGTTCTTCTTTGTGGTACCCAGTATAACATGTACTGTCCCCCTGCATGCTTAGGAATCCCAGTGAGAAGTCAAATATGAAAGACAATGGATGTGTCATACAGTTCATGGTGAGAAGTGCTTTCTAGAGAGTGATCTTTTTATATTGATGAGAAGTGAACAAAACTGATACAGTTTTCCTCTGAAAGAAAAGGAAGTTCTACAGGCTGCTCTTGGATCATATCTATTGCTCCTGTTGATTCCAAGTTGGCGTGACTCAATTCTATATTTAACTAACTCCCTTACAGTTAGTCTCTCAGCTTTCTGGGCTTTTTTTTAATCCATCAGATTTTATATGGGTATAAATGACAACACGTACTTGGCATCATAAAAGTAGGATGGCTGACTACAATTTAAGAGCAGCAGGAGGGACCGCTGTACAGCTGTTTTCACTGCCTCTGCAGTTTCATTGCCTTAATAAAACCTCCAAACTTCCCTGTGAAATGAACCTACGTTTACTGTAACATACAACTCTTCACTTTTCACAAAACAAAAGTGTTATTCTGAATATTCCAGTTCTTTGGGCAAAAGACTTTGCATGAGCTCTTTATATTTCATTTAAGTCAGTTGTTAAAGTAAATTACCATCACATTTCACACTGGCTGGATTCCAGAAGGGATTCAGTAGGTCAGATTTGCTTTAATGTATCAGGTAGAATGCATAATTGTGATATTTGCTCAGTAATTGACAGTTCAGCTTTATTCCTTTTAATTATTGCTTCTTAATCCTTTAGTGTGGTTTTTTTTCATAAACAGGCAGCGTTTATAAACTCATGGCAGCGTTTATACTTGGTGCTTTTATGCTATTTTGTTGAACAAAACAGATTTTGAATTTCACCTTAAATTGTAGGTTATTTGTGAAAATTTACAAAGATGTGTATGTGTATTGCCTTCTCAGTGTTTACATGAGAGGAAATTACCAGGGTTTAAGCTTTAGATTTCTTGTTGAAATGTATCCCTTGTCAAAAAGTCTGATCTGAAATCTCTTAGACGTCGTCTTGAATTAATTTGTTTGTACCAGTCCAGTCTTGGAGGACACTTTCATATTTGAAAAGCAGGTATTAGTTGTGTGTGTTTTAGCAATTTCTGTAGGGTATGGCATAGAACTTTTGGAAACGCCGTTGGTTGGGAACTCTAAGTTTGAGAAATTTAAATTCCAAAAATTTTTGAAAGTAAGTTGGCCAGGCTCTGCTCCAAACGAATTTCAACTTAAAATTTTTAATAGACTCGAATTTGTTCTTACAAGCTGCCATGAGCACTAGGAGAGACTGAGAATCTCAAGGAGCACAGAAACTAAGATATTTTGAAGTGTAAGCAAAACATCACAGATTTGAAATGAAGTGAAGTTTGTAGAGCCCGATTTGTGTTCAAACCATGGAAGAAATGTGGATTTTCTTGGGAGAGCTGAGGACAGCAAAAGAGTCTGATGAAGTTTTTTTTTTTAATAAACAATGAACATAATTTAGCTATTTTTCACAATAATTTCACTAGCGAAAATGTGATCTTAGCATAAAGGGTGCAGCCTGTATTTTTGTTAGTGTAATGCTAATAAAAAATAAATCTTTAGAAAATAGATTAGAAATATCACTTTCATGCATAAGCTTTCATGTGAAAAAGTCATTCTCAAAGGCTTTAGTAGCAGTGTGAGGTAAGTTTAAAAAAAAAAAAGAGTGCATCATGTTTTGCAGATGTTTCACTCAGTTCTCAGCTATCTGAGGAACCTATAATTTCCTGCTTTTTGTTGTTTTGAATGTTCTGTGAAATTTAGAATAATCCTATGAACAGTGCAAATTCAGCAGAAAGGCCGCAACATTCTGGATTTAATATTCTGTTATGGATATTCTTTGCCTATAAAGATTCTAATCCTTTTCCTTGTGACGGATGATGCCATCTTAAAATTCACTGTCTTAATTATTATTCCACTTCCTTATTCAAAGCTATGGGCTTGTAGAGACAATAATGCTACATCTATCATCTTCACTATATCTGCTTTGTATTCAGAAACTTACTAACAAGAACTTGTGTACCTTACAAATACAGGAAATGCAGTACTACATTGAGTCATTTTGCCTTTTTTTTTTTTTTTCCCCTGCAGACCTTCAATGAATTTGAGATAGAACAACATCAAGAATGTGCTTATGACCACCTGGAAGTGTTTGATGGTGAAAGTGAAAAATCACCAATTCTAGGACGCTTATGTGGCAATAAGATACCAGATCCTCTTACTGCTACTGGAAACAAAATGTTTCTCCGCTTTATTTCTGATGCATCAGTTCAAAGAAAAGGCTTCCAAGCAACACACTCTACAGGTCAGAAAATCAGGATGTGCTTTACTAATAAATTCCCCTTTATTCTTTAGTGGAAGATATTCAGGGATTTCTTTTATAGGAATGGAATGAGTTAACAGATAAGACAATGGTACAACTAAATCTAACAAAAACTTAAGAACAGTAGGAGAAGTCTGAGGCTGCCAAAAGTATTCTCCAATATTTTAGATGTTTCTTTCCCCTTCTCTCTCTTTCTCTCATAGGTAAGTGATTAGAAGATTTTGAAATAGAATCTGATAAAAACAAGATATTGGCATAGAAAATCAAAGAGAGATTTCTTAGGATTCATGCCATTAGTTCGTAAAAGATTCATTAGCTTTTCATTGTATTTGTAATGGCAATGCTTTACGGGGGCATGTGACGCACCTCCATTACTTTCCTGTTCTAAGTTAAATAAAAGTCTGGGATTTGTGTGAACAGCTATTACTTTCCTGTAGAGCTAAAAAGGAAAGACAAGCCGAAGAAGACAAAACAGTAGCGAAAACATTCTTAACACCTTAAGAATATAGTCTCCTTCACATTTAACATTTAATTTTGTTGTTTGACAGAAATCGCTGATATGTGAAAATAGTGATTTTCACTATTTGCAATTGCGTTAATAGATTTCTCGAGACATTTTTATAGTGCGTGCAGTATTTCCCTGAAGTTGCTTGGCTTACAGTGGCCCCTAGTGCTAAATCTCTGAACTTCCACTCCTTGCTGTAAAACGAGGGATTTGGGGTTTGTCTGTCTTTACTTTCCAAAGTTAATTCATCCAGTATTTGGCAATAAATATGAATGCATATAATATTTATAAAAATCTGTTCCACTAGAACATAACGTTTACTGGCAGATAGCAGTAATTAATAGAAGATAGTAATTAAGGTGATTAGTCACTATTAATACCATTTGATATTATCCAGAGTATTCATCAAGTTGATGTATTGTGACCAGCTAACAAATCCTCATATATCAATGTTTGCATTTTCTCTTTTTTCCCTTCTGCTTTTTTAAGAATAATTCTAAAACTTTGTTAATTTAATTTGTCTTTCAGAGAAACACAGTAGGCAATAGTATATAAACCATTCAGTCTCCATAATCTGGCGTGGAAAATGCAAAGTTTAGCTACCTGTAATTAATTTTTTTTTTCTTGTGGGAAATCCTCTTTTACAAGCATGTCACTGTTTGCCTTCCCTACCGCAGTAACTTCTCTTAGATGGAAAATTAGATAGAAATGATAATAATTACTCTTTTTTAAATTACCTCAGGGCAAATAGTTAAAGGTCAGAACTCTTGTTAGAAACAAGAGTTGTAAAACTACTGTCTCATTTATTCTTCTTACTTTCAATTTCCAGAATTGGAGTAGTCATTATCTTGAAAGAAGTTCAAATTTATATTCTTTAACTTCTAAAAATTTCTAGTTATGTTATGACTTGCTGGAATTTCCCTCATATATATTTATCTGCTGAGTTTTATGTGCCTTAACTGTAAAAACTTTCCTAGCATGCATAATAGTGCTTTTATGAGAAAGTCAATAAAATCTGCCCAGTTTTTAAGAATGTTGTAAAAATTATAAAGTTTACTTCCTTAAGAGAGGACGTCTATTTCTATTGACTGCTGTTGCAAAAACAGCTCGCTAATTTGAACAACACATCACCAGCACATGCTTTCAAGCACTGTTTGAGTGAGGGACAACTCAAATCTTGCAGCCTTTTCCTGCAATCTTGAGCCAATCACAGATGCTCTATGGGAATTTTACCTCTGTGTTTTGGACACACGTGAATAAATAGATACCTAACAAGTGTATAGACAGTGGATTGTAGTTCCCTATTTTATTTTTTCTAGAAAATAATAATAAACAGTATGCAATGGAAGTAGACAAGGATGCTCTCAGTCGTGCAATTGTTTGCTCAAATCCTCAATCCCTTCCCTTCCGAGCTCTGGGCAGAACTCACTCATTAAAAGGATGTAACAGCAGAGAAAGAATAACTGGATCCTATGCCCAAAGGTGTCTGTGCTGCTGTATTCCTGGCATCTTCATGATTTAGAATAATAGAATCATACAATGGTTAGGGTTGGAAGGGACCTCAAAGATCACCTAGTTCCAACCCCCCTGCCATGGGAAGGGAAACTCTCCGCTACACTAGGCTGCCCAAATCCTCATCCCACCTGGCCTTGAACACCTCCAGGGATGGGGCATCTCCAACTTCTCTGGACAACCTGTTCCAGTGCCTTACCACCCTCAGAGTGAAAAATTTCTTTCTTATATCTGATCTAAATCTCCCCTCTTTCAGTTTAAAGCCATTGCCTCTTGTCCTATCACTACACGCCCTTGTAAAAAGTCCCTCCCAGCTTTCCTGTAGGCCCCCTTTAAGTACTGGAAGGCTGCTATAAGATCACCCCGGAGCCTTCTCTTCTCCAGGCTGAACAGCCCCAGCTCTCTCAGCCTGTCTTCATAGCAGAGGTGTTCCAGCCCTCGCATCATCTTTGTGGCCCTCCTCTGAACTCGCTCCCGTAGCTCCATGTCCTTCTTGTGCTGGGGACTCCAGAGCTGAACACAGTATTCCAGGTGGGGTCTCACGAGAGCAGAGTAGAGGGGCAGAATCACCTCCCTCAACCTACTGGACATACTTCTTTTGATGCAGTCCAGGACACGGTTGGCTTTCTGGGCTGCCAGCGCACATTACCGGCTCATGTTGAGCTTCTCATCCACCATCACTCCCAAGTCCTTTTCCTCAGGGCTGCTCTCAATCCATTCTCCGCCCAGCCTGTACTTGTGCATGGGATTGCCCTGAACCATGTGCAGGACCTTACACTTGACCTTGTTGAACTCATTAGGTTCTCACAGACCCATTTCTCCAGCCTGTCAAGGTCCCTCTTGACCTCTTATTTTAGTAGATCCTGATGATGATGTTGATTTCCCTTCTGTGACACTTTTTGACTATACTATCCAAATACCAAATTTCCATTGAATATTTAGAAAAACAGGATAAAATTGTAGTAGCAGTGACAATAAAGTTTAAAAAACCAGATTGGATAGAAAGGCTTCCCCATGTGGTGCAAAATTATGAAATGCTGTTTTTGAAGTGCAAAAGAGTTTTAGACAGAGATTCAGTTATATTTTCCCTCTTGGAAAAGACATAACCCATTCAGAAGGAGTTTACAAAAATGCTCCTGACAGAACATTAAGCATCATTGCTCAAGGAGTGATTTGGTTGCTCTGACACAGGCATCTGGTTCCCTTCTGGATGGCCTCATTTATGGTGCCTGGCCCTTAGCCACTGCGGCAGGAGGTTGCAGGTCTGCTGTAGGTCCCGTTCCTCTCTGTTAACTCTGGGAGGATCTTTCTGACAAATTTGGGCATCTCAGATGTCACTCAGTTTAGGATACGGTGTCACTTCCAAAATGACTGTAGTATTTCAGTATGGCAGTACTGAATCAAATTTATAATCTTTTTTCACTAATTCAGATAGTGTGCATTTAAGATTTTCCCATCTGCCCTGCCTGTTAAGCAGGTAAGAGACTACTGTTTGATTTGCTCTTATGTTTGTGAGATGTCTAAAAGCCCCTAGAAAAGTCAGGAAACAAGAACGTTTTTTTTGTTCCTTAGCTGATCTAGAATAAAGTCTTTCACCTAAATCTGTCAGATCAGCAGCATTTTACGAGTCAGACGTATTTCTTTACAGTCAGATGCGTAGATCATACCTACAGCAGAGCAGACCCAGCACAATGGGAAAGCATGATGGTGGGTGCAGCTAAGTCAGTTCTGGTGTCAAGGCTGAGCAAATACTGCTGTGTGGCACTGCTCTCTTCTCTGCAGACCCATCTCAGCCTGTCCCTCAGGTTCTAATGCAGTGCTGCATTGTGCAGGCTGCATGTAGACTTTTGAAACTGTAACTTAATCCTTAAGAAATGGAAAATTTCACTTGTAATTTCTAAAATCAATACTTTATCCTAAAATAGAAGGCTATAATCCATGGTAGAAGGGCAGAGGAAAGGCAATTACCAGTTTTTCCTGTTGCTAATATGGCTACGACTTCCCTTTAAGCTCTTGTCCACTGTAGCAAGCAGAGGGAACCAACACAGACCGTTCATTAAATGTTTTCTCCTTAACAACTGTTTTATGTCTGAAGCAGGGAGATGTTCTTACTATTGGCAGCAGTGCAGTCAAGAAAAAAAAAGTAGTACATGAAATCAAGAATAGAAAAAAAAAGGAAAAAATCAGTAAAGTAGAAAACCAATGAGAAATAACTGTTTGAACTCTCATTTACAGATTTGCTTTATCATCTGCTCTTATCTGTTCTTCAAAAGCAAAAAAAAAAAAAATTGGATTGAACAACAGGATTACTCTACCTAAATAATTTGTATTTCCTGCTTTGATTTCTTTATTTTCTTATAAAGAAAAACACCATGTTTTTAAAATATAAGGATTTGCTCATTACTGTCATTAATTCCCAGCTGAAATGTGACTCCTCACAATATAACATGGCAATTGATCGTGTTTAGTGTAGGTGGAGTCCATGACACTGATATCAAATTCAAATTATTAATTCACCAAAACTTATAAATGTTTGAGTCTTGCAATTTGTTTCCGGTTATGATAAAATGATCTATTTATAATAGCTGCCTTTGATCAAAATGCAGATAGCATTATCTGTTCATTTATTTGTAAAAATTTAGTCTAAACTTGTGAATATCAGGTTTTGGTTCAAGCTCATTTGCACTTCATGTTTTTATGAGTGCTATAAGGGATGGATTGTTCTTGATGAGAAACAAGAACAAAATTATGCTGTTTTCACTGAAATCTTTGTAGCTGTAAAGAAAAAAAGCCCCCACCCATCTCTTGGAAACATAATAAACAAGACATTTTTTTCTTTTAAGTACAGTTTTCATCTGTTGTTGGTTGCATTGTAATAGAACTTTTAATTGGCAAATGCATAACACCTGTATGTTTAAGTTACTGTAGAAGCTGAATTCACTGGCTATTTAGGATAAAATACTAGTTTTAATTATAGCTGCTGAACATATTTAGAAAGGATGAAGTAGTAGCTGCTGGTTTGTTGGTTTTCGGGCTTTTTTTTTTTTTTTTTTTGTTCAGCACGTTTTCGGCATCTTCTGTTCTCCTTGAGTGAACTGGCTAAAGAATAGCTTATTGGACTATACAGTAAAGTTCATTCATTAAATTATGAAGGTTTTAAGCAGTTATAAATAAGCTCTAAAGCAATACGTACATTTTACTGCTATGTACAAAAATGTACTGAAAGTACTGCTTTGGCATAGGGCAAGGATCTCCAGCTCAGGACTTGCTTCAAGAGCTATAAGACTTTGTCTGGTAGTAGCAGCTTTCTCCTGGTGTGATCTTTTGCAGAGAAAGACCCATTGACATCCACGAACTATGCAGCAAACAAGCTAGAGATCTTGACAGTGGTGTTTAGTACTGAGCTGGATGTCCAGGCACTGCATGGTGGTTAAAGCCGACACTTACAAAACATGAGACTTCTGCACTAAATCACTCACTACACATGTGCTAGAGCTGATCCGCCCCTGCCACTTGCAGACGATGTCATTAACCCACATGGAAAAGTTTTCACCACTGAAATGTGGATGCCCCCCTTACAGCACTTGTCTTGCTGCCCACAGGCACCTCCCAAGTGCCTACCTGAAGAATGCCCTACCTCTTGAACCACATTGCTTACAACTTTGGTGTTCCCTTCCTTTTGGTCTTTCACTTGAAAATTACAAAATATGCTCAAATATCTGTAGTTGTAAAATAGAATTTATATAGGGAAAACTAAAAATGATGGATTTATATTCATACTGAGCAGTACTTCACTCTGTGCTGTGTTTGATTGACCTGCTTGTGGCATAAAAATGCACTCAGCCTGAATTAGATTGGGCACCTATGAAAAGAAAATGCTAATTTGCACTGAATAAGCTTCTTTGTCCTTATTTTTTTTCCCCTGTTTAGAGTGTGGGGGTCGACTGAAAGCTGAAACCAAGCTCAAAGATCTGTACTCTCATGCTCAGTTTGGCGATAACAACTACCCAGTTCAGGCAGACTGTGACTGGCTCCTGGTGGCAGAGCGTGGCTATCGGGTGGAGTTAATGTTTCAGACTTTTGAGGTGGAAGAAGAGGCAGACTGTGGTTACGATTACGTGGAGCTCTTTGATGGTCATGATAAGACAGCTGTGAGACTTGGTCGATTTTGTGGATCTGGGGTAAGTAACCAGGTACTAAAGTTTTGCTTTTTATTTCCACAACAAAAAAGAAAAAGAAAGTCAATGGAGAGGAAGAAAAGGGACAAGCGGGGATGAGGTTCAGTTACTACATCTTATAATGAAGATACTAGATTATCTGCTCAAGATTTTTTTTTTTTTAATGTAAATTTGCAGACTTGTAGTACAAACATTCCCTTGAAATATTTTCAACAATAAATATTCTTATCTAGTTTTTGACCAAAATGTTATAGTCTTATGTTAAGCTTTGGGTAGCTGGCAGTGGAATCTTTATTGGCACTCCAAAAAAAGTTAACAGCATTTTCCCTTAAAGAGAGAGAAACACACTATTGTTGAAAATTATCACATTAAAGTTCTTTCAATTTGAATGAGGAAGCCACATTTCTCAGGGAGAGGGGAGCTTAGGAAGCATTTATAATATGCTCATCTACTACTTAAATTTTTTTTCAGGAAAAAAAAGTGCTCCTAAACTGTGTGATTAATATGGGCCTTAAGATAGCCCTGTCATCCCAAATGCATCTCTGACAAGTTTTGACTGAGACACAGAGGAAATTGGCCAGGTGACATCCTGAAAAGGATGTATCCTCTTTCTCCTTTTAGACTTGCATTCTGTTGGCTGCCTCCCTTGAGAAAACTGGTGCGATGATCCCCCAAGTCCTCATCAATTCTTTATATGCATGCAAATGAAGCACACTTTCATACATGCACTCTTTTCCTAGATAAAAGGTTTGAAAGGCTCTACATGAGATAGTATGAGCTCTTAATTAACCACATGACACTTTTTGTATTCAGTCACAGTGCTGGATCAAACATCTCAGTCGTTCAGATGAGTTACCTGTAAGCTGGCTTAAATTCTTTTAGGGCATTTTTTGAACACTTAAAGATGCAGGAAAGGTGCTGTCACTGAACTGTAGGCAATATATTACAAGAGAAATGTTGCAGCTGAACCTAGCATTTACTAATTTACACAAAACAATACTTTTCTTTGCAAGTTGTTCTATTTTAAAAGTAGGAGGGCAGCAAACTGGAGAACAGTCCAACCTCGGTCTGAATTTTTTTTTTTTTTTTTGGAGGGGCAGGGGGAGGTGGAGGTAGGTGATTTGGTTAGGTTTTGTTGTTATTTTGGTTTGGTTCTGGTAAGATATGGATGAATGACTTCAGAGGCCATTCCAAAGCAAGCATATAGGAACGACGGAATTAAATAGAAAAGCTATTGAAAGCAAAATCATCCAAGCTGAAGTGGGAAAAAGGCACTGTTAATATACATTACCACCTTCTTAACTTCAGAAAAAGAATTTGACAGTTCAGCTGGTACTTCTGATCAATGTGCTTCAGTAATAAAACAGGCTATCATGAGGGCTCTATCATAGAAGACATCTGGGAAGGACTAAATAATGAGGAGCTTTGTTCTCTTCGTCTTATAAGAAAAGATTGTAGAGATACTCAATACAAACTGAATACGAAAGAGAAATATCCATAAGAAAAAAAATGTGAATGAAGGATATAAATGCACAGAGCGGACAGATAATTTGTTTGTTTATTCATTTATTTTAGCCACCAGAAGAAATTTATTCAGCAGGGGAAACTCTTTTACTTCACTTTCACACTGATGATACAATCAACAAGAAAGGATTTCATATACGATACAGAAGTATAAAATATCCAGATAGTGTGCACACCAAAAAATAACACAAGAACCTCTATGCCAGAAAAGGAGAGTGAGAAAGAAAGAACGCACAGTGGCAAGGAAGGAAGAAGGCGTGTCTTTTTTTTTAAAACTGAAGTTATTAGCACAAATGTTTTGTATGAGTTCAGTTGAAAATGATGACTTATGAGACCAGAGACTGAAATAAAATTAAAAAAAAAAAATCAGCTATCCCAGTGGAATAGGAAAGATGATGATGTGCGGGCTCCATACTTGACTGTCTCTGCAAAGCTTGTGAAAGAACTTTGCATGCAGGGAGAATATAAAAGCTTTTGTTCATGGTTTGACATTTGTCATAGATGTGTGCAGATTCAATCAGTTGTATTCAGAGGAAGTGACCCTGCAGACCGTTCTTCCTTCTGACAATTGTATGGTGTCCAGGAGGAAAAAAAGCTCTTTCAGGTCACACACTCAAAATACTGTCCTTATATCTAGTTGCTTTGACGTTGTATCCTGCATACGGTGTGTACAAGGACTTGAAAGAAGATATGAAATGGGAAGGTCTTCCTGCATTGTTCTGATTTTTTTATAAATTCATCTGTCATATCAGGTTATCAGTGTTTTGAAACTGGAAAATCCTATGTCTGAAACATAACTGATCTTTAGAGTATTTTGTTTTACTAATGACTGAGAAGTCTGAACTGTTACATCGGTCATCGCTGGTTGACTGATCACTAGTTGACTGAATCTGAACAGTGTAAGCATCTGAAAATGTTTGGTTTACTGGTTAAGTAAGCTATCTCTGATGATGTGCTCTTATTTTGCACTGAACATAGAAAGAGACTGAGGTGAAAACCTGTCCTGAATCAAAATCTGTATCCATGAGAAACAGAAATTGTTAAGGATCATCTGAAACTCCTCCTACTGAATTTGTTTTTAGTAGTACATTTGGAACCACTACTAAGCTTTATTTCTTCGGACCTCTTTGTGAATGAGCTAATTGTCTGGTTTAGCTAATCAGAAATGAAGCTGCAGTAGTATCCAAGAAGGAGGCTTCCCAAAGAGTTGTTGTTTTTTTTTTTTCTGGGAGTATCTGTGATGGTGAAAAAAGCAAAAGAAAACAACAGACCCAGGATTTGTTTGTTATCAAGAGTGAATTCCTATGGTGCTATTCCATGAACATTAAAAACAAAAACAAACCAAGAAGTTTTAGACTTTTGAGCCAACAGCTTGCAGATCATGAATGTCTCACTACGCCTGGCTGCATCTGGAGAAGGAAGGCTTTACTGCTCCAAGGGAGAGTGAGTTGCAACGGCAGCACTAGTCCTGTGGAACAACTACTACTATTGCCTTAGAATCCTCGCACACGGTCAGACAGATCTTCCTGTAGATACATGTCTAATTTGATAAATAATTCGACGACTTGGACATTCGACTTGTTAGCATATGCTAACAAAAGGATCTTCAAGCGAAAAGCCTCATCTGCAGAGCGAGATCATCTGCTGTAAATACAGTGACCTGCTTTTGATGTAGAAATATGTTATGTTTAGAACTGAGATATTCTATGTGCTTTAGGCCATTCATGGCTTTAGTCATAATGTATATGCATTATGTAAGTATTGTATGAATGAGTGCTCCAGGGGAGTGAGAGGTATTTGTGTGGGTGGAAATTGAATTGTTTCTTTATGTGCCAAGTTCTATCAGGACCCTGTTTGACTGTAGCAACTTTTCTTTAAAGGCTTCATAGACAGATAACAAGGACTTCTAGTTGGCAACAATCAAGTTTAAACTAAGTATTATGTTTCACTTACAAGAAATATTATTTTGATATCCTTTGATGTAAGTTGCTACTCAGATTAGCTTAGTTTCTGTTACCTTACTATGAACGTACATTGGCACTAATAAATCTGATCTTTTTTTACAAAAATAAAAACCAAATGTCTGTATAGGTGTCTTTTATTGTTTTAAAATCACTATTGCTGCTCACATATTACCATTTTCCTTTCCAGACAGACTACGTGTGAAGGTCAAAAACTGAGTAATTTCTGTCTTTTTATAATGCTGCTCCACTGTCCTCATTTGGTTCATTTTTCAGGGTGTTTGCACAAGAAGTTAGCTGTAAACATTTTCTCCAAGGTCTTTTACTACAAAATCTACAAAATTCAGGAAGAAATATTTTTATATTTTTTTTTTTAAAGTATTCTTAACCTTGATACACAATTTCTCAGCTGGGTGGAATGCCAGTGCTCGAATTTTTGAGAGAGAAAGCAAGCAGCAGCAGCACTATCTCCCTGGCATGGATAGTCAAAAGGAGTTGGGAAAGTCTGAGGCAGGTTTCCATGTTATCTTTTTTTCCACTTTTCTGTTCCAGTCTCCTCTTAGTGCTATCCTCCTTCCATTTGCTAACCAGAATATTTTAAGCTTTCCTTTTCTCTAAATTTGACTTTTTTATTCCACTCAGGGTTACTTATACAACCAGAGGATTGAGTCAAGAATATTATTTTTTGGAAGTGTTTTTGTTGTTGTTGTTGATTCATACAGAACCCTTGTGTATAAATCCTAATGTCCTGTGTTAAATGGTGCAGCTGGAATAGTTGGGGAAGAAGGTTAGAGTGGGTCAGCTGAGAGCAAGAACACCATATAGTGTATTTGCAAGAACTTGTGTAAGGTGTTTCTTTGCGGTCACATCAAAGTATCGCATTAGAGCACAGAATGTCTGGGATTATTTCACATGGCATATGTAAAGAGTTGTGTAACTTTGTATTCAAAGTTTAATTTTATTTCTCTAATTGCTCATTTTTCTGTAGATCCCATATGCTTAAGACTGGTGAAAATGAGGAAGATGTTCTTAATGATTATCTTGATGATAAATGGACTGTATGGATTATATCTTCACATTGGCCATGATCCTAGTCAGTGCCTTGTGGTGCTGTCAGATGCTATTAAAAATGTAGTTATTTCCAAGACCTAGGAGGCTTTTCCTGATGTAATGAAAATCACATATTCAGTGAACTCCTCATTTAATGGGAGTATACCTTATAAATAACCTAACAATAAGAAAACAATGAAAAAAATCATTTATGCTGATGAAATTGTGAAAAGCAATGTGGATTATCCCAAAAACTCTTTGAAATAGAGAAATTTTTTCTCAACATTGATTAAAGATCTTGCCTTTTGAGTAGTCAAAAAAACAAGACACAAAATCCAATGGGTTGGAGATCCGTCTTTGAGACCTTGTTACAATGAGTTTACTGGCAACACTTCTAGCAGGGCGAAGATGATACTTATTCTACTTCCTATTTGACACAAACTTTCTTGACTGTAGGTAGCCTGCTGGATTCAGATGAATCTTCCTGTAACATGACATACCGATTTCCTCAGCTACATAGAGAGCTTCTGTTGTGTGCTGAGTATTGTTCTTTAATGTTGTTAAATTCAACATAAAATGTTAAGTTGATGGAATATGCTATGGAGGTGACTGGCTCTTGAAGAATTTAACTCTGTAGCAGACCAAGTTTTGTGATCAATACCATGTTCAGAAAAGAGGAAATATATGTTTGTGAAAGGCTATCCTTCCATCCTCAAAAAAAAAAAAAAAAAAAATTGGTGAAAGTTAATTAAAATAGCTAGCTTACATCAGAGCTGTGAAGGTCCAGCTGAAGTGAATAAAGCAAGGTAAGTGTCAACACAGCAGATATTCTGTTCTTTGCTGGCATTTGTTACAATCTCCAATATATTTAAGTAATCTTGCCTTGCTCTGAGACCCATGAAACAGTGAGTTGACCTAAACATGGGTGAGGGCTGTATCAGATCCTTAACATAGTACTGCAGCATTACTTATGCATTTAAAACAGATTGCTTTTCAAACACTAGATTAATTGTGTTAAAAAATTAAACAAAAATTGTGTTAAAAAATAATAAAAAAAAATAGATTAATTGGGTGGAAGCTTTATCCACCTGGAGAATCAGTTTTGCAATTTTGCTATGTTGCCAGGGGTGCAAGTGGAACACCTGATTTTTTATAATGGAGGAAATTGTTGCTGACCTCACAGGTTGTGTGCTGTGCTAACTTTGGCTGTGTGCCGCACCACCATAGAGCGTGGACACTACTTAGGCACACTGGAATTTTCTTTTATAATTAAAGGGTTCTGTTCTGCCAAAACTTACAGATCTTATAGTTTAGGGACCTGGTATGGGTACGTGATTTTAAGAAAGTATTCAGTCTTAAATTAGACCTGACCAATCTTTGTTTTTGTTCAAAAAAAGAAAATGGAGCAAGAACAAACAAAATGCCTGAAAAAGGAAAGTGTAAAGATATCATGGATACAGCTACATCACATTTAAAAAAAAAATAAATTATGTATTCTCCAAAGTCAACACTGTTGCTGACACATTAATTTTTCAATGCATCCTTCATATTCATTAAAAATGCTTTATAATCTGTTACATTCACTTACCTGAAGGAAGAGTTAGATGATTAATTACATTGTTTAGTGAATTTTTCAAGTGCAGAACTGAAGACAACCTAAGGAATGACTTGCTTTTGGTTCCTAATGATGCATATCCAGAGTAACTACCTGTTTGTGAGAGGAAGTAACACTGGGCTGTAGCTCTTACAGGTTGGTGGGTTTCCCCTGTAGCACTCTCAAGTTTTACTGCTCTAAGCTGAATACTTGGGGCAATGTTTTATGTTAATCCTCATCATCTAATTCAACTAATCAAAATAATAGACAGCTGCTTAATACCATTTTTTCATGGCATCAGGGTCAATGAAGACTGATTAAAACAAAAAGAACAAAGGAAAATGCATTTTTCAAGTTATTCCTTGTTAGCAAATGTTCTCGTTTCTCCTGTTTTCTCATTTGAAGTTCACAAAGGAAGCAGGCAAGCTGTGGCAGTTGCAAAAAATATTTAGGGTATAGTGGTATTAGGTGAACAGTGAAAGGAAACATTAACAAGGCTGTAGTCTATCTGTTTTGATTGCACCTCTGCATTTGTTTTTCTCTCATGTTTTTACTTGTAACCTATCAAATACCATCATAATCCAAGATTAAGTGATATGACACATATATATATGAAAAAGTAAGATTTTTATTTATTTATTTATTCATTCTTCAATGGCCCAGGGATTATAGTCCTGTCTCTCAAATGTCAGGAGCTATATCAC